TCAAATATTTGAAGAGCTGTCATGTGGAAGAGGGACTGGATTTGTTCTGTTTAGCCTCTGGTAGCCAAAATGGGAGCAATGGGTAGGAAGTTTCAAAGAGACAAATTTCCCCTTAATGTCAGGAAAAAAAATATTCCTAACAGCAGAGCTTACCTGCTCTGCCTGAAGATGTGGACAGTTCCCCCTCCTTAGAGGTCTTCAGTCAGAGGCTGAATGATCACTTGTCAAGTATGTTATAGTGGAGATTCCTTTTCTGTATGAGTTGGATTCAGGCTGGAGCCAGCTGGCTCATGAAAGCCAATTATTAAATTTTTAGTGTGAGCATTTACACCTCATAAATTTGCAAGTTCTTCAAATCAGAGCTTGATTTATTGTTTTGCTAATTGTCAAGACTTATGAAAGTGATGGAGAAATTGTTAATAATGCAGATTAAACTTTAAAATGCGTCCTCCATACATTTTTTCTTCAGGTAGCCAATTGTTAAATATTTACGAGGACACTCCTAGTTGGGCTAGAATAGATGCCTGCTAACTACACATGACTACAATAAAGTAAAGAGAACACAATAAAAAATTAAAATTGAATGTTATACAATTATAATGATCAAATGGTCCAAAAGAAGAGAAATGAAAATGGACACACACACATCCTTCTCTGCAAAAATTGGAGGTTAAGGATGTGGAATATCACATACAGTTGGACTAAAGTGACCTATTGGTTAGTTATGTTGAACTTTTTTTATTCTTTGTTGAAAGGGATGACTCTCTGGGTGGAAAAAAAAAGGAGGGATATTAGGAGATGACAGTGATAATAGAAAGAAAAGTTATCAATAAAGAGTTTTTTAAAAAAGCAAAGTGACTAAATCTTCCATGCTCTTTGACCTAGCAATCACACTTTTGGGAGTATACCTTCATAGAATCCAAAGGCAGAAATGAAGTTTCAATATGTAACGAAATATCCATAGCAAAATTCTTTGTGGTAGCAAAGAACTAGAAACAAAGTGGGTGTTCATTGATTGGTAAGTAGCTAAAGTAACAACAACCTTAAGTCATATGAGTACAATGGAAAATTATTCTATAGTAAGAAATGATGGCTATGAGGAATTCAGAGACAAGTGGGAAAACTTGTAGGAACTGAAACAGAACAAAATATGCAGAACCTACAAAAATGTAAATCAACAAATAATTAAAAGGAAATTGAACTTTGAGCAACAGAAAAGCCATTGAAAGTCCCAGAGAAGATATAATGACATATACATCCTCACTGTAGAGAAATAGGGGACCACTAGAAAAGAATAGAATATACAATGCCAGAAAGGGGTCTCTATCAGAAGCTTTTGATTATTTTTCTTTTACATGAGGGAAGGTTCAACATGGAAGGAGTATGAGAAATGGCTGATGTAATGACAAAAGGCATCAATAAAATGTATATTAAAATATAGGAATAAAATAAAAATAATAGCTTGGGGAAAATATTCATGGTCAACATAACAGATCAAAAACAATACCTAGGGGCAGCTAGGTGGCACAGTGGATAGAGCGCTGGCTCTGAAGTCAGGAGGACCTGAGTTCAAATCTGGCCTGTGACCAAACACTTGACACTTACTAGCTGTGTGACCCTGGGCAAGTCACTTAACCCCAATTGCCTAAAAAAACAAAAAACAAAAAACAAAAAAAACACAACAATACCTAAATTTTATGGCATGGCCAAAACTATTAAAGGCCAACATCCAATATCCAGTGAATAATCAATCACATTACGGGAATAGACAATTTTAAGAGGAAATACAAATGGTAAATAATAACTTAATGCTTAGCCTTACTAATAGAAAAATACATTCAAACAATTTTGAGGTACCACCCCAATCTCAAACTGACAAAGTAACAATACAATACTGGTTAACTGTGTAGAAAAATATATTCATACATTACTGATGGAATTCCAAATTGTTGATACTTCAATTTCTTGAAGAGTAACCTAGCACTACACTATTGGAGCTATAAAGAAGTATATTCTGATTTAATATTCTCTTTATTGGAAAAATAGGATATTATCTGTGAACCCTGAACCCCATGAACCCCACAAACTCCAATTTGAAAGTCTGTTCTAAGAAAGAGACAAAATTGGGGTACATGTGTCCACGGTTTAATTTCTCAAGGTGGCTTGACATGCATTGCATGGGAGTTCAGTCCAAAACTGGGCCCCCCCAAGGGGGCCAGTTCAGAACTGACTCAGTTTGGGATTTTGGGGCACAGTGTTATATGCCCTTCAAAGAGTAGGTGTTCCCAAAGGGGTGCCAAACAACCATGATTGGTCAACATACCAGGAGGTGGGTGTGTTCCTTAGATCACTCAGTCTACAGGGCCCAATATCGCCTGGCCATCAAAGGAAATATCACCCCCAGGCTTGGAAGTCTGTCTCCACCCAAACCCGAGTAGGATAAAATCACTTCAAGCCTGGGTTAAAATTTGACCAAGGTAAGATTCAATGCAATCTTATTATCAGAGATGTCCTTCTGAAGAACTTTGGGTGGAAGCCTGTTTGTGGGGGGGTGGTCTGAGTCTCAAGTACACAGATTACTAAGAGAAATAATTTTTAACATAACAGAAAAGTGAGCTATTAGTTCAAAGGTATTTATTTATTGCAGCATTATTTATAATTGTGAAAACTGTCAAAAACCTAAATGTCAAACAAAGGGGAAATGATTTAACATATGGGTATGTCAATAAAATACAATACCATGATGCAATTAAAATGAGTAAATTCGAAGAATGCAAATATGGAAAGATGAAATAACATGGAAGTTAAGAACAGTATATACATTTAGGTTATATATAACAAAAAATGTATAAAGAAGAAGTATAGGAAGGGATTGGAATAAGGGGGAATAATAAGGAAAAGGAAGGGGCATTTGTATGGTGCCTGCAGTGTCTCAAGCATTGTGCTAATCACTTTTACAAATATCTCATTTGATCTTCACAACAATGCTCCAAGGCAGGTACTATTAGTATCCCTACAGTTGAGAAAACTGAGGCAAACAGTGATTAAGTGACTTGCCCAGGATCATATAGTTAGTAATTATCTGAAGCTGGATTTCCATTCAGATCTGTTCTGACTATAGGCCAGTACCACCAGCTGCCTCCAAAAGGCATACTTGGATTAGTAAAACCAGAAGGGCCACAGGGATAAGCTGGTATGTTTCAAAGGCATGGTTTTTTTTTTTTTTAGTATGGTCATGAAATTATATTTTAATTGATTCTGTTGATATTTAAGGTTAAGTTCATAATAAATAATGGGAAAAAAGTGAAGAGACAATATGTAAAGCTTTTTTTCTTTAGGCAGAGGAATTCTATGGCATGTATATAGGCTTTCTGAATTTTGCTGACATAACATAATACATTCAAGACAAGTCACAAGGCATCTCCATTAAATTGTGTCATCTATTGTACTCATTCATATTACTTTTCTCATTAGAATTAGTAATTAAAATTACATCAATGAGAATGAATGGAACTGAAGCAGATTCTCAGTATTCAGGTTTACCAAACCAGTGAATACAGTAACCTTAACGAGTTTTTCATATTTCCTCCCTGTTTTCACTCCCACCCTTCTCAGTGCCTGGCACCGTTGCTCACCTCTGGGAATTCGAGAACAGAATAATTTCCAGTGACAGTTGCAATCAAGTCTGTAGCATTTATTAAGGGCTTACAGTGTTTTAGTCAGGGCAGTTAGGTGGTGAAGTGGAGAGAGTGTCACACCTGGAAGTCAGGAAGACTCCTGTTTCTGAATTCAAATACGGTCTCAGTCACTTACTAGCTGTGCGACCCTGGACAAGTCACTTAACCGTTTTTGCCTCAGTTCCTCATCTTTTAAATGAGCTGGAGAAGGAAATGGCAAACCACTCAAGTATCTTTGCCAAGAAAAACCCAAATGGGGTCACGAAGAGTCAGACATGACTGAAAAGCAACTTGTTCTAGTCACTGTGCTAAACTGCTGGGGATACAAAGAAAGACACAAACACGACTTTTGTTCGCAAGGAGCTCACATTCTAGCGGGGGTGACAACATGCAAACAATTTTTTTCGTTCCAGATGGATAGTGGAGACTGAGAAGGGCCCCTTGCAGTAGGCAAGATTTGAGCTGAGTTTTGTTTTTGTTTTTGGTGAGGCAGTTGGGATTAAGTGACTTGCCCAGAGTCACACAGCTTGTTAAGTGTTATGTGTCTGAGGCCATATTTGAACTCCTTCTGACTCCAGGGCCAGTGCTCCATCCACTGTGCCACCTTGAGCTGAGTTTTAGAAGAAGCCAGGAAGCACAGGTGAGAAGGTGGAGGTTTCAAGTATTGGGTGGGGAGCGGGGTTAAGAGGGGGGAGCAACTAATGAAAATATACAATATAGTACTCTGTTTTTGTTTTGGAAATGCTCTTTAGTCTTTTTCTGTTCCTCCCGTCGTCTCACCTCTTTCCCTCACCCCTAAACCTAATAATCTAAGATGAAAAGATCTTTTCCTTATTATTGATTTAGGATCATTTAAGGATCCTAAACAATTATTTAACTCTTTAAACTTTCGATCGGGCTTAGATAGCCTTTAGGGAGTCAGTTTCACGAAGACTCATGAAGCATGGGGAACTCTACGAGATGCTTAAATTCATGACATAGCTTTGAGTGGCTTATTTAAATCCTTGGTCTTTCAAACAACCCTATTAATTTTCCCCTTTAACCCCAGACAACACTGAAGGTGATTTCCATGGACTTTTCTTTACTTCTACGGGTGGCTCCAAGGAGAACAAGGCAGCTGCCCCCCCAACCCCCCGCCCCTGAATTCACCCAACTGCCATCCCCACTGGAATGAGACAATCCCAGTTTGACAGCTGTCACGTCCCCCCCCTCCCACTTCCTTGGCGGGCTGGCCGGCCCCTGGGCCTCCCACCCGTGCCCTTCCCAGGGACAAGGCATGCTCCCTCCTCCCCCGCTCAGAACCCCGCCGGGCCGGCTGGGAAGGAAGCGCAGCAGTCAGTCACCTCTGCTGCCGGGGCTGGGGATATGGAGGTGAATGCTGGTGGGCGTGGGGGGGCTACCCTCTCTGGGAGGAGGAGGGAGTGGGGGGCGGCGGGTCAGGCAGGTGGGCGGGCGCCCGTGTCCTTCTTTGGCCATGTTGTCAGCGGGTCCTGCCCGCCCGCCCGCGGCCTCTCATTGTAGGTAGGCGTCAGAGGGAGGAGGTGTCCGGAGCTGCCACTGGCGCGCGGCTGCCCGGGGGGGAGAAGGGGAGGAGGGAAAGGAGGGAGTGAGGAAAAGAGGGAGGTGGCACCGCCGCAGCCGGCCGCGTAATCCCTTCCTCCTCCTTCCTCCCGCCGCTGTCCCTGCAGCCACCGCTGCCGAGTTGCCCCATGGCCCAGGCGAAGATCAACGCTAAAACCCACGAGGGACGCTTCTGCCGCTCCTCCTCCATGGCCGACCGCTCTAGCCGCCTGCTCGAGAGCCTGGACCAGCTGGAGCTCAGGTAAGCCGGACTGGGGGGCGGGGTGGGGGGGAGGCGAAGCCGGCCCCGCGTACAGACAGGTCCTGTCCCATGCACGCGCTCCCCGCTGGCCGCCCCCGAAGCCGGGAGCCCTCCCAGGGCCGCAGCTGGGAGCCAGGTCGCCCTCGTGGCCCGTTTCAGGGACTGCGACCTAGGGCAGGAGCCGTGGGCGGGGGCGGCTGGGGAGCCGGGGGCTGGGGGCGAGGAGCGAGGCAGGCGCTCCTAGGACACTTGCACATTTAGAAGAGGGAGAGGCAGACTTTTGGGAAAAGAGAAAGAAATAGGGGGTGGGCGTGGGAAGAGAACGGAGAAGTGGTGCATCTCTGACACTTTCTTGCCCTTTGGTTGGGTGGTGCATCCCCTTTGGAGGTCCATATCTATAATGAGTGTGGCGTAATGAATAGAGAACCGACTTTGAAGGCAGGAAGACTTGGGTTCAAGTCCTGTCTCTTATACGTATTCGACCAGGGGCGTATTTTTTAAGTACAATCTTTGTGCACGTTGCCTTCTCCATTAGAATGTGTGTTCCTTGGAACCATATGTGTGGGGTTTTTTTTTTTTGTTTTTTTGTTTTTATCTTTTTGCCATTCTGTGTATCCTCAGTGCTTAGCACAGTGCCTGGTACATAGTAAGTGTTTAATAAGTAAATGCTTGCTGACTGACTGCCAAAAATCCCCAACCTCAGTGCCTTAGGCAACTCACTAAGACTATTTCGCCACATTCATGAAATCAGAGATTAGTTAGGAACAGAAACCTATGTTTTCACCAGTAGGAGCTCTTGGTGTGGAAATACCTTCCCCATGCAGATATACAATTCATCCATCAAAAGTTAGAGGAGGGGGACACTGAGAAGTTAAATGACTTTTGTCTATGGACTTAAACCCAGACTTTCTGGACTCCAAGGCCAACCCTGTATCCTGCATGCCACTGCTATCCTTCTTGGTCAATGTTTATGCCAGATAAAATCTGAGTAACTTCATTGTCTTAGCATTCTTTTCGGTGGTTTGGCCACTTTCACAGTCCCATTCCCATGATCCTTTTGGACATCTGAATGTACCATTTAGAAAAAAACAGATGGCAAAATCTACCATGACATCATCTGACTGATTATAGGCTTCAGTATCTGATTCTGAAGTGCTCTTTTAATGTATTTTATATTAACTTCTCTTCTACTGTTTCTTCTTTAGTGGAATTTACTTAGTCACTGATACAGGGTGTCCCAAAAGTTTTAGTGTGGTTTTCATCTTTTAATCTGCACTAAAACTTTTGTAACACCCTATAGATTGGTTATCTTCTTAACCGCCAAAGGTTTATTCACTCAAAATAGAAGGTTATACCCCCCTCCAAAAAAAAAACAAACAAACCATGGAGTAGCTTCAGCTAGGCCTAGTAACAATGGATGGAGAGAAGAATGACAGCTGGAAGGCTTTGTAGAATAACAGATTAATGCTACTTTTCTCATACTAATGTAGCACCACATTGTACTATTTGGGCCTTTTATTCATAATCTGCCATTCTGGCTTGATATTGTAGAAAGTTTATTCACAGGGGTTTGGTGTTTGTATGTATGTCTGTGCATGTGTGTGTGTGTTTACTTTTCTAATGACTGTAGTCTTAAATCCTTAGGAATAGATTTGTATAAAAAATTTAAACTTTTAGTTAATAACAAAAATGTTTTCTATAAGAGGAACAATGTATACTTATAATGTCCTTTGTGATTTTTAAAGCTTTTGTGGCATAAACTTTAATCATGAGCAGTTATAGTTAAACTAAAATTCCTTTAATATGTTTACTTTGTTATTGATTAAACAAGATAAGATCTCAAAGTACTAAATAGGTAAGCTATTTTCAAAGCAACAATAACTAACATTTGCATAGCAGTTTTCAAGGTTTGCAAAGCACTTTGCATAGGTTATTTCATTTTATTCTCACAATTATCTTATCCTATAATTATCCCTTTTACAAATGAGGAAACTGAGGCTGAGTGAGGCTGACTTGCTCAGAGTCACGTAACTAGTATTTGAGGCAGGATTTGAAAGCAGGTGTTCCTTCTTGCAGCTAAGTTGCACCCTGGATAGAAATGCTGGGCCTGGAGTCAGAAAGACCTGAATTAAAATCTGTCCTGACACTACTCACTTTTGTGAGCCTGGACAAATCACTTCAGATGCTTTAACTGTCAAACAGTGATAATAACAGCACCTACCTTGCTGAGGTGCCGTAGCACAGTGCCTGGCATACCATAGGGGCTATATAAATGCTTATTCTCTTCCTGACTCCAAGGTCCATTACTATCCATTGTGCCATCTAGCTGCCTAGGATGTAGCAAGGGCTACATCTTTCATTTATAAAAAAAGATGTATAGGATTAATGAATGTATTCTCCTAACCTAAGCGGCAATGAGCAGAAAGGGAGAAGAACCAATTTTCTGTTCACAATTTTAATGGCAATAGCAAAAAATGAGAATAGCAGAAACTGCTATTTTTAGGTGTTTACTTTTCTTCCATCTTTGCTCAGTATAAAACACATGAGGAATTGAAAATGAAAAGATTAGAGAATTGGCAAAATAAATACAGGATTAGTTAACAGCTTTCTACTGGAGGTTCTACAAAGCAGGTAAAGATGATTCTGATAATTGACTAAAGATTAAAAAACCAGAGTTCCTCCAACTTAGTCTCCTTATTTGTACCAACAGAATTATATGCAGAGCTGTAACTAGACTGAGACCACCAACTTCCTGGTATTAAAATTTACAGGGTGCCCAATGCTTGCATAGACTTTAGCTGCTAATTAACAAGAATAATTAATTAGTTCAAGTAGGAAGTTACCAGATGGCTGTGCTTCCCAGTGGACATTCCAGGTGTGCTGCTTCCAGTCCTGGCCTCACCATGCTCCCATAACCTTCAGACAGCCTTCTCTATCAGTGACCTTGCAGTGTCCCTAGGGTCTCTAAACACCCTGCCCCCTGCCCACCTACACACAACCAAGTTCAGTTTGCCTCAGTACCAAAACTGATACTTATTGCTCTGATTATATGTATCTTTATGTATCAAATAACTCTGACATCTCCCCTGTTTGGCAAAAAGTTGGAGATGGCCTTTCAACAGTTTTAAGAGCCCATTATGCTAGATTGAGAAACAAAAGATGTTTAAAAAAAAGTTGGTAAGAGCATTTTTAATAGCATTACTGAAAACCCATCCTTTCTATGTCCCTGTTTCTATATGCTGAGTCATTCTCTCCAAACTTAGACTTTTAAAAATAAATAGTATTGTTTTAATTAACTCTTAAAACGGGGTGGATGCTCCCTACATAATGAAGACCTACTTAAAGTATCTGTTCATGAGGTCTTATATGTAATCCTATCCTGTACAAACCTGTATATGCTGTTGCAGCCTTTGGAAGTTTCATAGACTAGATTAAAGGGTTTGCTCTTTATTATAAGGTACAAGCCCTAATTAAATATTCACAACCTCATATTTGAACTGTTTTTGTAAGAATTATCTTACTCAGCGACTGGTTTCATCACTAATAAAAACCTTATCCAGCTATTCAAAATACTAATAGTTAAGACTGGACGACAGAATTTCAAAAATTGATACTTGCATGGATTGGATGATTTCAGAAGTCTCTTCCAATGTGTTATGTACATTGTGGTTAAGGAATTTTTAGGAGACATATTTCATGCCTAATAATAATGGTATGGGTATAATCAGAATATCACCACCACATGCATTACAATAATAACTCATTGTGCTTTAAAGTTTAAAGAACTTCCCTCCCAACAACTCTGTGAACTAGATAGTACAAGTGTTATTACCTCCATTTCACAAAAGACAGAACTAAGGCCCATAGAAATAAAGTGACTTACTCATGGTTATTTAGGCAACAGAGAAGGCAGTATGCCTCAGTCAACTTGCCTCTGGAGTCTAGACCACGTTCTCCTCTCTCTATTCCTGTAGATACCATCCTAGTTCAGGCCCTCATCATTTGCCTCCCAGACTATTGCAATAGCCTCCTCATTGGTCCCCTACTGCAAGTGTCTCCCACTCTAACCATTCTCCACTCAGGTGGCAAAGTGATTTAATGCAGCTAAAGCTTTAGTAGTTTAAAATTGCACTAAGTATAAATTCATCTGTTTGGCATGTAAAGCCCTTCACAATCTGGTCCCACCTTACCTCTCCAATCATCTTATACGTGTATTACCCTTCTTTATGAACACTGCAGTCTAGTCAAACTGACCTTCATATACAGCACTCCATCTCACATCACTATGGCTTTGTACAGACTGTCCTCTATATACCTATATACAAAATAGAGAACTGATCATTTTGTTTTTGTTTTTTAATTAATTTATTTTTAGTTTTGAACATTCACTTTTATAAGATTTTGAGTTCTAAGTTTTTCCCCTCCCCCCTCCCCAAGACTGTATGCAATCTGATACAGGCTATACATGTTCAGTCATATTAAACATATTTTCACATTAGTCATGTTGTGAAAGAAGAATCAGAACAAAAGGGAAAAACCACAAAAAAAAAAACCAAGAACAAAAAAGAGAAAATAGTATGCTTCAATCTGCATTCAGACTCCATAGCTCTTTCTCTGGATGTGGATCGCATTCTTTATCATGAGTCTTTTGGAATTGTCTTAGATCATTGTGTTGCTGAGAAGAGCTAAGTCTATCAAAGTTGGCCATCATACAGTGTTGCTGTTACTGTGTACAATGTTCTCCTGGTTCTGCTTACTCCACTCAGCATCAGTTCATGTAAGTCTTTACAGGTTTTTCTGTAATTCTCTTGCTCATCATTTCTTATGGAATAATAGTATTCCATTACATTCATATACCACAACTTGTTCAACCATTCTCCAATTGATGAGCAACCCCTCAATTTCCAGTTCTTGGCCACCATAAAAAGAGCTGCTATAAATATTTTTGTAAATGTACATTCGTTTCCCTTTTTTAATGATCTTTTTGGGATACAGACCTA